CTTAATCTTGAAAGGGGCTTTTAATTAGGAAAACCCAATTTTAGATATGTATGTATGGTTCCTGATGCTGAACTCTGCGTTACTACAGTGTGAGCACACGTCTGAAACAGTCACCAGGGGCATCACAGATAATTATTGAAGAAAACATGGTTGATGTTAAGTATCATAATGCTTTCCTCATTCCATGAAAGGGAATAATGCATGATTGGCTACAGATACACCCAAATTGCAGAATTCTGGTGTTAGGTGTAAGGAATTGCATCCTGGTAAAGGTTCTGATTTGTAGTAATTACTTCTGGCTGGATAAAATTGATTTGAAAGAAAGGAGCTGATTTCACTTCAGTGCCCAACCTCCACGGACTCCTGGCTGTTTTGAGTCTGAATCTCTGTGGTACTTTATTTTAATCAGTGACTCATGAATTAGAGTAGTACTTTTAAATGTGGTCCCTGATGATACAGCTTTCATTTTTCTACCGCATGAAGGTTTTACAGTGGAACATTGTGCTCATGTGTATTTGATACTCATTTAAAAAAAAAAAAAAAAAAATTATAGAGATACAGAAAGTTTTTAAATTTGTAGGGTATTTTATTGCAGATGACATTTCAATAGTAATGTCTTGTAAAATCTTTTTTTTGCATTTTAGCTAGATCAGCATTGGATGCAGCTGCACGCTGTGAGTATTCATATGCATGTGTTACTGCTGTCGCTTGCTTTGACTAATAGCATAAAGAATTTTGGATTTTTCATAATTAAGAAAGTCTTAATCACACTGTAAGTGCAGTCAAGCTAGTTTTCCCCTTTCCCTGATTTTCCTTAGCTCTAAAATCCAGTTTTATTTCCTTTTGAAAGCTACGAAACCTCCGAGATACAAATGTGGGATCTCTAAAGCTTGTCCTGAAAAGCACTTTGCATTCAAAATGGCAAGTGGAGCAGCAAATGTAGTTGGACCTAAAATTTGCGTAGAAGATAATGTGTAAGTATTTTTACCTGTTGTCAAAGTACATTTTTCAGCTGTTGTCTTGAATTCCTTTGCACGCTAAATCAGAAACCTGAATGATTCTGTAAGTTTTCGTTTGCCTACAGTGTGACACATGAAAAAATTATACTGCACTATAACTTAATCACCAATGAAACAAGTAGTACTCTGCAGTAAATGTTGAAATCTAGGCTATTTTAATATGCATAAGGTAACTTACACAGTTACAAGTTTTAGTTACTTATGAAATAGTCAGACTTTGTGAAGCTGGATTCAGTTTTACCACTAAGGTACTCGTGTCTCTAATTGTAATTCATTGAACAAGTGTATTTTAAGTACTTGCTCTTGATACTCTTAATTGAATGTCATTAGTTAAAACTTTCATGGAATTTTCTTTTGTAAGTCATCTTTTAAACTATCTGTTTCTACAGTTCATATTTTCATACAGAACATATTTTCCACTTTTCTTTAATAGATGACTTCAGAAGGAAAAATATTTTAATGATCAGTAGTTCCTATTGGCATAATTAAATCAAGACAATTTGAATTTAACTATAAAATCACTTAAGATCTTCAAGGTCTTCTCCAGCTTCCAGTCCCATTACAAAACCACTCTTCCTAATGACCCATCTTAGCCTCTCCTGGTGCAACTTGACTGTTTTCTTGCGTCTTCTGAACAAAGAAACTAATCCACTCCTCACTGCAACCTGCTTTCACAGCGCTGAAATCTCCCCTCCTCATCTTTGGATTAAAGAACATCAGTTCCCTCAACTGTTCCTCAAAACTTTTGTTTTCTAGTTCTTTCATCAGCTTTGTTGCTCTCCTCTGCAAAGGCTCAAATCCATGCTTCTTGTAGTGAGGGGCCAGAACCTGAACACAGTACTTGAGATATGGTCTCAGCAGTGCCACATACAAGGGGACAATCACTCCTCTAGTCCTGCTGGCTGTGCTCTTTCTGATTCAGACCCATGTGCCATTGGCCTTCTTGGCCACCTAGGCATGCTGCTGGCTCACATTCAACCAACTGCTGACTGGCAGCGCCAGGTCCTTTTCTGCCAGGCAGCTTTCCAGTCACTCTTTTCCAAGCCTTTGTACTGCTGCATGGGATTGTCATGACCCAAGCGTGGGACCTGGCACTGAGCCTTCTTGAAGAAAAGAGCTTTGAAAAATGATTCGAGTCTTTTATTTCTGATGACGGTTCTCTTAACACAGCATGTCTAGAGTATTTAGCTGAATATCTGTCACTAATCTCCATAACGTCAATATTAATGTTTATTTTGAGACTTTCTTTGTTCTTAGGTTGCTACTGTTTGTTGTCTCCTACTGCATTCTATAGTACAATCTATATGCTTAACCTTGCATGTCCATGGCAGAACAGACATGCTGTAAACATGGTCAATAGTAATAGGCTTCTACTGTTTTACTGTCAGTTACACTAATTACCCATTGCTGTCCGTTTGCATTTAAACTATTCCAGTTTCTGAGCCCCTGCTCTGTAGGTGATGTGGCCGAGGTCATTTGCACTTACCTACAGCAGTCAGTGCAAATTCTAGAGCAAATAATAACTTTTCTGTGAGCAGTGTAATCCCATGCAATATAGATCTAAATACTAATCCTATGTATTATAAGACCTTTAAGTATTGTTTTATATTCTTTGTTACTTTTTCTCTAATTAAAGTAAGATTAGTTGCACATGAGCTAAAACAGGATGACTGCTAGCATTGCCTCTAGCGATTAAGCTGTAGTAAAGTTGAAATGGGAACCTTTTTTCTTATGATGAAACCCATGCAGCATCTTCACTTTGCATTGCAGGTTAAAACTTGAGTACTATTCAGATGTCAAGGTGATTTTAAGCAAAGCTGACTTAAACGAAGCTTTTCTGTTTGTGTAGAACTCCATTTCCAGTGGTGCATTACTGCTCAGTACACGTGCAAAATGAGCATGAGTTCATGCTTAGTGCATACTAACTAAAAGCTGCTAGGTTCTGCTTCTCTTAGCATTGATTCCCTTTATGATCTTGGACAGTCTTACCCAATATCTCTGCAGAGAGATTTTTGTTCGTGTTACAGAGCTTGTCAGCATCTCAGCCTGGTTGCTAGGAAGCTTCGTATCTAAAAACACTTGGGGTGATTCACTGATGAAAAGTTCTGAGTGCAAGTAATATTTTTAACTTCAGGATGGTAGGCTTTTTAAATGCCTTGCTTACTAAAGGGAGGTTGTGGTTCATGTCCAAAAAAAAAGCAAACAAAAACCCCAATAACTGCAAACTGATGGATATTTTGCTTTAAGAAATGAAAGGAAAGCAGTAGCTGTCAAGAAATTCTCTGTTCTGTTAATATTATTGCACAGCTTAGTGCGTGACTATTGGAGTCCAAAGTTCTGTCTCAGTTGGAAAAAATCCTTTCTAATTATTTCTGGGGAATAAGATTTTAATGTCTATTAAAGTGTACATCAGAAAATTTGATTATTTTCAATTTTATACGATCTTCTGCTTTGTTCATACTATATTTGATTTCTCATTTGAAAGCTCACATCATCTCTTGATTGGGTTTTTTTGGTGGAATTCTAAAACTGATGAACTACTGCCCTCCTGTGATAAAACATTCACATTACACCCAGTAGTATTTGTGGCAACACACAAGCTATCTCAGGTGTGCAGAGTAGTATCTCAGAACTGTAAAGAAATCTATTTCCTGCTTGATAGATCTTTTTATAACAATGTTTCTTTTGCCTCTCCTATACAAGATGTGCTTTTCTAGTTAATTTGCAATAGCTGAGTTTTATGTAAAATTCTTCTTTGTATTTCCAAGACATGGAAACAGGAAGATGGCTTCATAAATTGTCAGTAATATTTACAATGTAGGTTTTTCCTCTATGTTAAACGAGGTTGTTGTTTGATTTATGAGAGTACTAAAATGGAAATTCTGCTTTATGGAAGTTTGGTTACAGTACGCAGTCCAGATTTGACAGTAACTGTAGTATTTTCTAAATATGAACTACTGTGGTTGCTGCTTGAGAAGCTTAGAAGCAGTAGAGTTATACTTCTTTACCAGCACTTCTCCATGCAGTTTTTCTTCTGTTAAGAAGCCAGTTCCATATTTGTGCTGCAGTAACCTTAGAGCAGAATGGCATTCTGCACTGCTATAATAACAGTTACTTGTGCCATTTGTACTCACGGGATATTTTCTTACCCAAAGTCAGTTATAACTTTGTTTATATGTGTGTGATATTTTGGCATCTAATCACCCTGGTATTGGATTTTTGTTTTTTTACTGCATTTATTTATAGAGAATTTAGTAGTCAAAGTGAAAGGAAATTTTTATTCTTTTTGCTGAATTCAGGTACACTAAATCTCACATGACCATTCAGAACATAATTGTTTTTCATTTTTTTTCAATCTTTATTTGTCATATGATTCTATTGCTTAGAGTTGATGCCCAGCCATGGCCTGTAAATGATGTGGTCGGAGAAGTAATGTTCCCCCAAGTGCTGAATGGATTTAGAAAGAATTCCAGAAGCCCAGTTGGGAATTCCCTATTAAACAGAACTGAATTCTGTATTTTAGCAGAAAATTGCAAGTTGTCTGTCTTCAAAGTTATTGAATTAGTTTCATTTTTAATCAAGTAAGTCTTTTTTTTGGTAGATGATATTAGAGGGTTAACGTAAAAATATGGAACACTTCTGATTATTACTTCTTTAAAATCCAGGTCACTATGCTGTGAGTTGCTGTTAACTTGTAGTCTTTCATTGAAGTGCCAAAGATGGTATCTAAGAGGAAGGCTGTCATTTTTCTGGTAAAGCAATTCTTGTTTCTAGCCCATGACTATTATTGGAGAGCTGTTGCAGTTCTCTGTGCAAGGACATTTCCTTCTGAAACGTTGCTTAGGACAAAAGAAGTTACCTGAAAAAGTTCTGTAGATAACAGACTTGTAGAGGGTTGCAGCCCCTTAGAGTAAGCTAGGGAAGTTTAAATTGACCTTGGTTGTAGTGGAATTAAAGCATCTGCTAAAGTATGCTTAGAAATGATGAGATGTGCATCTCTGCTTTTTCTTAAAGCTGAGCTGAAAACTTCTTCATTGTCTTCATACAACTTCAGACCTTCCTGTTTCTCCTTGTTTGTCTAATACTTTGACTCTCAGCTTTGAAATAGTAGTGCTGGGAAATGCAGGGCCTGTGGGTAGAACAGAGCTCACTGTATGGTGCCAGTGAAAAGGAATGAGCTGGTTTTGTAAGCTTCTTCACATTGGAGGGATGTACCTATCATGGCCAGGGCAGCACAGCACTGTAGCTTGACATTCCCCTTAGCTCTACTTTACAGCTCTGAACAGCTTACATTTCACAGGGTATCAGCTCTTTCCAAGCTCCTTTGCTGCTTTGAGTTTGGCCAATTAGTTGCTGTCATAGATTGTGGTGATTTTGTTGGGATGTTCAATTCTGCTTCAAAGTTGCATTCAATTTTCATTTGAAGTCTTGTCATTATATTTACTGTTTCTGGTTTACTTTTCTGCTGCTTGGAGGTTCATGATCCTTGAGGTCCCTTCCAACCCTGGCCATTCTGTGATTCACCAAACTAATTTGCCTTGACTTTCTAGTTTAGTACCATGGTCCGCAATATTGCAACATCCATTTTAAATACTTTGATTCAGTTAGGCTTTAAACTCATTAACACATTTTTGCTTACAGAAAAGCTTAAAATGTTGGCTATGTGGCTGTACTAAGCCCTTCAAATAGTTCTTTGTTCAATGCATCTTAACTGCAAGGGATTTTCTCAACTACATTAATAGTGCTTTATTTTTGGTGGCATTTTTAATATACGCATAATTTGAGCATTTAATCATCTTCTTTCCATAGAAAATGGATACAGTTAGGGACATTAGAGCTATTGTTCCCAAATCAGTTGTGCCATAAGGACACCTTTTGCTTTAAATATTCATGGAAATGTGGTGGTCTTTTACAACATGATTTTATTTTAAAAAATAATTTAAAATGAAATATTTTGCATCAGAAAATAGTTCTGTTACAAATTAAATTGTTTATTTTGTTTCAGATTAATGAGTGGAGTTAAAAATAATGTCGGCAGAGGAATAAATGTGGCCTTGGTCAATGGTGAGTGACTTCCTAAGTGAGCAGTGTCTTCATTTTCCAATTCTTCATGAAGTTTAAGGTCTGCTAAGGTGGTGAAAAGTAAACAAGAGGAGAAGAGGAGTACTCAATGTATTCGTACTGAGATAATGTCAGATTTTGCCATTTCTGTGTTTTAGTTGAATACTGTTGTATTCAGTTGTATGCTGTTTGAAAGCAGAAAAACTTGATGCTTTTTTTTTTTCTTCCTACAAATGTGGATTTCCATGATGGTTATCTATTCATACATCAAGTAACTTCCTGATACACATGGGATGATAAAATTGCTCTCTTGATTTTGTGTATTGCCACTGTACACCAATTCTTCTGTTCTCAGAGAAATCCATTTAGCAGTTTTATTACTACATGAAAGGAACTGTTCATTATTCACCAGTTTGAAATCACTAGATTGTATTAGTCTGCGTTTGTTAATCTTGTCCATGAATACATCCATGTAATATGTATTCAGGAATATTAATTTCATTAAAAATAAACAGATTTACCTGTGTGTCAGCTTCAAGACTGAACATCAGTACTGGCATTTCTCCTTAATATGTAAGAAGCAATTCTTTGTAGTGCTGAGACAGCACTTTGTTATTTTGCTGCAATATAAATTAATGTTATTTTTGGGTTGCGTTCAGGTTTGTGTAATCTAATGCATGACTTGAACAATACCTAATTCTGTTTTGCCTTCCTCTGTTGTCTTAGTCAAAAACCAAACCACCTTGTTCTGTCATGTAATTTTCAGACTTTCTTGTCTTCTGAATTGTATATGAATGTATCTATTAAAAATGAAATTCTACCTTCCATCAAATACTGACTTTGTAGACAGGGAGAATACTAATGTATGTATACCAATCGCTTTCTTCTCTATTCGTTCCAGAAGTTTAAATCAACTAGGAATCTCTAATTTGTAGCAAAACTTGCTGAGTAGTTTTGATTTTTCCTGCTTCCTCTGCAGTACTGAAAGCAATCTATAACTGTGCTTTCTCTTTTTATGCTAGAAAAAGCACCTAAAAAAAGTAAATTCCCCATGAATTTCTGAAGTGCATTTTCTTTATTACTGTTTTTTGAGGGTGTTCTACTTGAATCTAAATCAGAAATTTGCATCTTTTATCATTTTTTTCCCCTCTTTTTCCGGCACCTTTTCACAAACTGTTGTGGTTAAGGAGTGGTCTTCATAAAAAAATAAAACTTGATGATTTATATGGTGTCTTCTGCAGCACTTTCTCTGACAGTAATTGAAAGGAAGTGGGGATGTTGTCTCTGGAGTAACTTTTGGCTTTTTCCTGACACCAAACATTTCTTTTTCTTCAGGTAAAACAGGAGAACCAGTAGACACTAAATTCTTTGACATGTGGGGAGGAGGTAGGTGCAGTTAATCTAGCTGGTTAAAGAAACAAACCATTTCTGTGTTAACGTGTTTGTTCTCTTAAATTATGTTTGCTGTGGTATTTTAAGCCTTACCTCTGCCTTTGTAATTGTGAGGAGGATACAACTTTAGGTAAACAAACCTAGTTGGTGTGGGAGAGGAGAAGGGAACTGCTCAGGAGAATAAGCATGTACCAACTGGCAGTCAGCTTTATATAGACGAAAGCCTTTCTATAAAATGAGAGTTCATTCTTATGCGTTCTATTTGCCTCTTACTGAAGATCTGTGCATAAATTTGAGTATATTTATAAGGATTAAAAGAAGTCTAACGTCACAGGTGTTTAAATATGATTAATTGCTTATTACAAAGGTTTTGTTTTCTTTCTTTTCAGATGTGGCACCATTTATTGAATTTCTCAAATCCATACAGGATGGAACCATCGTGCTAATGGGGACGTACGATGATGGTGCAACAAAGTATGTTGGTTTTTTTTAGTCAATGTTGACTAAAATTTTAAATGTTGCTTTTAATTGCAGTCATTTCTGATAAAGTTTTGTCTTTCCACGACAAGGCATTAGAAACTATGCTTTCAGTTGATCGATTTAATAATGCTAATATTATTTGGAGATAATGAGGATCAAATCTGTCTTATACTGTTGAATTTAGGTCATATGGTTGTGAGAAGATACCCTCTGACTGAAATTGATCTGTTCCATCCCACGCTTTCCTCAGGACAACCCGAAGATGTAGTTTGGTAGTTAAATTGTGCAGAGATCGTTTCTTATAGGTCTTACATGTACCCCTTCTTTTCTAAGTTCTGAGAGTTTTTATTAGTGTGAGCCTTAAACTTTTTTGAAGTGTTCCACTGTGAGCTGCTCAGCCTATCAGTATAAATATAGCTTAATCTAATTTTAATATTATTTTAATATTCTTTGTGCAGTACTTTCCAACCTTCTCAACTTCGATCATCTTTAATAGATACTGAAATCACTGTAGAAAATTGTATTGTCATTATTTACTTAAGTCATATTCTCAGAAGGAATTTTTTTAATAGATAACTTTTTTTATTTTCCTCCATTATTTTAACATTACTTACACTTATATTATGTACTTTTTTTTCCTCTCTTCTGGTACAGTTTGTTGTCCATGACCTGTCTGTATTTTGATGTAGAAATAGCTTTGCTATGACAAAGTCCTGACTACACAACATGCAGTATTTTCAATAACTGGTTGAAAGTAACTTTGCCTGCCTTAGGGAGATGAAAGCAATCTAATGTTTCCTTATCAGAAGGCTAGATCTCCTAACTGTTGTGCTTCAGCATTTAGATAAGTAGTTAGGTTTTTTTTAATCATGTCTCTGCTGGTGTTTTCTAAAACTAAACAGAAAGGTGAGTTTGGCACATTTGTGCTGACAGCCAAGAACTACTCATTAGTGGTATTGCAAAATTAACCAGAAACTTGTGGTTGTGACTTTAGAGTAACCAAAAACACCAAACTGCTAGAAAGCAACTTAAAAAGTGAAGAACCATCATGTTTAAAAGATAAAAATCTTACTGTGAGTGTTTTGGTGGTGGGTTTGGTTTTTTTTTTTCTTGCTTTTAGTGTAAGCTGTCTTCATGCTTTGGAAGCTTGGAGTGTGGGTGGTGCAGATAGCCTCCAAAGTAAATTATTTAATCATTTTTTTCATTTTGGTTAAGGTGAGTCATACAGCCATATCTCATTAAGTAGAAATAATGAGCTGTTGTACTGAGATCCTATCTCTTACAGAATCTTTTTCATTTCTGTATTTAAAATTATCCTGTATGGACCTAGGGGCACTGAACCATGCTGTGGTGACAGCAATTCTCACTTCTGAATTAACTGAACAGACAAGAACTTCTGTGTATTTAGGTCATTCTTTTAACCTAGAAGAACTATTTAGGCTTCAACTTCAGTGTGTAAATAATGGTTATGTTAAAGATGAACTTTTCTTACTTGCTTGGGGAATTGCTAAAATTGTTTTAATTGTGTATATAAATTCTCACAGGATAGGATTCTTTGCTTTTGTTAGTGGTTTTATATTATTTGCCTGATATAATATCAAAGAGCAGAGCTTATTAGATCAGCTGATTACAGAACTGGCCTTATGTGATTTTGAAAGACAGATCTTTCCCAATATTGACTGACTTAAATTATATTTAATCGGGTTGAATCCAAGTGGTGCATTGAACAATGAAAACTCTGAGAATGTGTATTTTTATTTTTTTTTTTCCCAAGGCTTAATGAGGAAGCACGGAAACTGATTGCTGAACTGGGAAGCACATCTATCGCTAACCTTGGCTTTAGAGACAATTGGGTCTTCTGTGGTGGAAAAGGAATTAAAACTAAAAGTCCTTTTGAGCAGGTCTGTGACTTCTTACGTTCTGTAACTTATGCTATGTTCTGTAACTTCAGCAGCTTACATTAATAGAGACATGGCCTGTTTTATACCATGAGTTTACTCAAGATGGGTATCTACTGCAATAGTGGCACACAGTGTTATTTTCAAACTTACTTCTTGTCTGTTTGCTTTCTTTTATGTGTGCAAACAGACTGTGGTGATAAATCTTACCTGGGTAGGTCTTAGTATCCCAGTAACTAGATGAGTTTTATCTTAAGTGAATTCAGTGAAACTGGGTATTCAAAACCCAGTTTCTTTAATGCCTAAGAGTCATATTTTAGGCCCACTAACCTCTGACAAATAGATTATTAAGGTATTGGTTAAGCTGTTCACTTTGTTCTTCTTTCAGAAATTATTGCTGCCATTGAAGAACTTATGAAATTAAGTACATTCCCAGATTTAAATAACTACAATTTAACATGTGTCATTGTTTCCTTTAATGACTGGTAAAGGTAGCTTTACACTTGGTGAGTGCAAGTGTGCAGACTAGTGCAGCAGCAGTGGCAGACTCTTCAGTTAGTAATGTCTTATCTGACAGCAGATTATTGATTTGTGGGGGGATGAATAAGTTTAAAGAAAAAAAAAAAAATAAGCTGGGCATTCAACACTAAATAATTTTCTTAAAATCTGACTTTATTTTCAGTGTCTTGTAAGCGTAGTATCCTTCTTTAATATTTCCTAATGGCTTCTGTTTTCATGTAGTTGGTCTTCTCCTTACTTGTTTTGCTTCTTAAGTAAACTTTAAAAATGTTTTCTATATTATGGCTCACTTGCTTTTAGCATACATTTACCTGAACAATTTGCTGTACTGAGGGTTTGTTACATTTGATGATAATTAGAAAAGCACAAGAGGCTACTACTGATGTTGTCTTGTCTTTACAAGAAGTGCCTTTGCAAGCTGTGACTTAAAGCAACATGGTAGAAGACTTCATATTAACAGTCAATATTTTCTATTTGCAGCATATAAAGAACAACAAGGACACAAACAAATATGAAGGCTGGCCAGAAGTTGTTGAGATGGAAGGTTGTATCCCTCAGAAGCAAGACTAAACCTACAGAAAAGGAAAGGAAGAAAATGCACTTTCTGCTGTTATTAGGGAGAGGGCTATGAAGGAGACTGTGTTGTAAATAATATTTTTAAAGCATGCAGCCATCCTGTCGGTGTGTGCATGAGCACTGACATCTTGAATATTGGGATTATTTATTGCTAACACACATAAAATCCTTTTTGTAAATATGTTCAAAGTAAAAGGAACATCAAATAATTTCTAAACAGATTTCTTAAAAGCACAGTATTTAGTTTGCCTATGGTGAGTATCTTGTAGACCAACTGGCTAATAAATTGCATATGCCAATAATAAACAGATCCAGACAAATGTTGTACTGTCTTCTAACATTGCTGTGAGAATGTAACCTTTGTGGAAAATATAGATTTTAGAGATAAGTTAATAAAGAGCTTTAATTTTTTTTATCCTCTGCCTTTTTAATGGCAGCATCACTTTTTATTGAAGGTAATTGGTTATTCTAATACCAAGTGCTAAAAAAAAAAAAAAATTTTGTAGTCTCCCACCAAAACTGAATAATCTGCAAAGGAAGAAAACATGGTAGAGAAATACAGATATACCATGAAAAGCACAACTAAGTTATTTTTACTAGAGAAGAGCAAGGGTAAGTGCATAAGTAGCATATGTGGTACTTAAAAGCAGTTTGGAAGGATTGTTGATCAGTTTGAAAATAATACTTTCTATGTAGAAGAGACTTGGCACGTTAAAAAACAGTACTTGTTCAAGTGACTTGTTCATTATTTTTGTAACAATTTTTGTACTGCTGCTTAACCACTGAGTCTACCTGTTCAGCCCTGCTAGCTAGTCACATAGTAAATCTGTGTAATGGGATTCCTTCCTGCTGTAGCTGTAACCCTAGAAATAAATTTTCCATCGCAAAGAAGCCAGCAGAAGGCAATCTCCCTTCTAGTGAGAGTTGTCCAGGCTACAGTGTTATGTATCTTTAGTGCTTGTGTTACATCTAATGTGGGGTCACTTGTGCTTACAGAGATGTTAGAGAAAGCGTTGCATCTTTGGTTATGCAATCTATGATATTCAAACTTCAGTGACGATGCATCTTCATTTTTTTTTCCATGCAAAAAAAAAAATGACCAAGTTGAAGTGGCCTTATTCTTCAGCTCATGCCAGAGCTATCAGAAAACATAGCTTCATTTGTAGGTAGGGCCAGCTTGAACTTTCACTGCAACTAAGTCTGTTATAAATTGAATTGTTGGTATACAAAAAATGGGGGATGTTACGGAATTGATTGTAATCTCTTGGAGTTTTACATCATGAGTTCTGGTTTAATCTTCAGAAACTTCCATCTAGTACCGTGGGAATAAAGCAACAAAGGATTTTTCAGGGACCCACAGTGTAAGTAGCACTCAAACGTTCCTATTGTTGGTATGTCTTCTGAGATGAACTCAATAGTGTGCACTAAAAAAAAAGTCAAGCGATATTGGGCGTTGCTTTGCAAGTCAAATAACCTGTGATGTCAGAGTAAGACTGGACTCTGAGCTGTTCTGTACATTTAAGTAGCTTGTTAAATAATGTGGCTTTCCCTCAAGTTTAGTGTAGAGCAGCAATAAAAGCACCTTATGTGGTGAAATTGTTTATTGTTAAATCTTTCAGATTCTCTTGTTTAGGAGGATGTGTCAAAATCATATGTATCTTTTACATCGAATGAAATAAAACACCTGATTTCTACCCATTAAAATAAATAAATTTTATTTAATAACATCAGGTTACTGTGGAAAACTAATTGCAAAGTCCTGGAATTTTCACATGAATAAATTTTTATTTGTAAGTAAGCTGGTATTGGTTATGCTGCTATCCAAAGTAATAACAGAAGAATTTGAAGATACTTAGTAGAGGCTTGAAGGTGGAAGTGGGTTTGGTGAAGGCTGGGTGGGGGGGGTGCATCTAGGAAGCCTTTATTGTTTCCTTGCACTATTGTCTTCTACAAAATGTAACGGAGGTCACAAAAGAAGCCTGGCTTTAGTTCTAGCTTTTGTCTTTAGGTTTGTGCCTTCTTTTTTCCTGGCCATCAGAAGCAAGCATGCATATTATGAATATTTAACCTGTTAAAGCTGGGTCTACCACAAAATATTTAACTACTGCTTTTAAAGCAATAAATGGTTTAATAATTGTTCTTAAATCATTTAGTTCTTGTGAAATCTGCCTCCTTTTCCTTCGTTCTCTATCTCATCCTTGTGGCCGCATCCTTTAATATTTCAGTTATACAAATGAGCTCATTTTGGCCATGAAAAATGAGAAAAAACAGCAAGGATCCCGTGGTCTTTTTTTGACTTGCCACAAGATACAGTCATGCCATCTCATTCTCTACCTTGAGTGGGCTAGTTGCACCATTTCCTTCTGTAGCAGTAAGCTTTCTGATGCTTTCAGTAAACAAGACTTTGGTAATAATGCATGTTTCAAGTAAGTGATGAAGAAAAACTTTGTGTGGTTTCTCCTACATCTTGTGGTATGAACTTGCTATTTTGTTCAAGGAGCTTCATGCAAAAGTACCTGTATGAGAAAGCTCCAGGATACTTCTCTTCCTACATGAAAGGATGAGAATGTCTGCAGCGCCTTGAGGACAGGGGAGCGAAGGAAGGAAAGGTGAAGATGGGGAGAGTGTCTGCCTCAACAAATGTATGTGTGAGTAAAGGGGCAGGACACAAGAAGGTTGTGGCTGTTCTCACCAAGGAGCACTCAGCTGAGATCTGAGCCACCTGGAAACTGCTTCATTGTCAGCCACAGCTCTCAACTGCTGTGCTAGTCCTCTTTACGTGTATGAGTCTTAAAGAAGCTGAAGATGTCTGCCTTGGAATGCCGTCTGCATCTCTCCTAGCATCGAACATATTTTTCTTCTTGAAAGAGGAGAGGCTTTGACAGCCTTACTTGCTCAAGTGCTGGTTCAGAAAAAGCTTTCTGTTGCTTGGCATGTTTTGTTTTATAGTCATTAATGTGGCTTTTAGTTCCCTCAGATGTTGATGAGACTAGAAAACACTTGTGTTCATAATAGTTCCTAAACTGTTTGGATTATCTGCAGTTTAGAAGCCAAGTGGTAAATCATGAGGAGAAATGAAGTGTTAGTGCTGGATATATTGACAGGGTTTTCTGTGCACAGATGGAAGGGCCATACCCCTCCATAAACTGGTTGGAGTGGAGCACAGGCTAGAAGCTGCTGGGAAGCTTTTTCAGCTTTCAGGTCAATACAGGTGGTTGTGTCCTGGTCCTGATACCTTGTTTCTGATGCTGTACTGGGCATGTGAGGGATGCTGCTTCTTGCCTCCAGGGCCGTATACCAAAAAGATCCAGCACCTGGGTTTAGCCATTTCCTGCAGCAGCCTCTGTGAAAGAAGAGTTTCTTGTCTGCATGGGCAAAAATAAAAACATAAATAAATGATGGAGCAGAGAAAGAAGGAATGTGCTTCACTTGAGATATTTCATTACATTTCTGATTGTCCTATCTGTGGCCTCAGAGATAAGGCAGCCTCAGGTTGGCTTAAAACCAACTGTAGTTTCTTATCTCTGCTCCTTTTATCCTCTTTTATCCTTTCAGCCAAGATCTGATGTGTCCTTCATAGGCCTGTGTTCCTCAGGCATCCCTTCCAATCCTTAAGTATCAATCTAGGATAAGTGTGATAATGTACAATTCAAATCTTTGCTGAAAATTAATGATTATTTTTTACTTCAATTAAAAATTGATCACTGGCCTCAGAGGTACTTAGTTGTATTTTTACTTACTTCCTGACCCTGTCATTTCCTCACTAGGAAATGTGTTTATCCTTTTAAAATCACCATTGCAATAGCCTGTTCCCACAGAACAGTTTGTTCCTTTTGTAGGGTGTTGGATGAGCCCTGTTGTTGTGTGAGAAGCACTCCCAACTGAGGCGAGGTCTCTTCTTTGAGCTTGGATAGTGGTGGAAGGGAGTACTGTTTTCCATGGAATACAGCCTGACTATTTCTATGATGCTTCAGTGATCACTTCTGGCTAATTATCTTACTTGGCCTTGAGTATCTTACCATTGTCTTTATCAGCACCGCTTCATTTTCCCAAGTATCCTGACTCATCCTTTCCAACTGGAAAACTGGGTGGATAGTGTCTTTTATGGCTTTGATGTATGCACTCTCAAATTTTATTGAAAGCACTTAATATACATGTGACACAATGCAGAAAACTAAACACTGTGCTAATTTTCGTGGTATGTTAGTAAATGAAATAGTCTGTTTATTGTTCTTTGAGGTGTGTAGAAAATAAAACTTTATTTCAGAGCTGACTTGCATATATATGCAGAGGAGTAGGTATTAGTAGAGAGTACTAGTCCAGCCCTATTGTGTAATAATGCACACAAATCACTGCATCCTCTTCATTAAATTTCTGATCCCTAGGGATAGCCCGAAGCAGCTAGTTAGCTCTGTTCCTCTAACGCTACAAAGCAAGATGCTTGGATCAGATCCTTAGTGTTGTGATTATGGAAATTGGCAGCAAAGTCAGCTCAAGGAGTTACCACTCCTGGTCACCTCCCTAAGCCCTAACCAGTGTGTTACTGCTCGGTTTGAGGCTACAAATGCAGCCAGAGCTCTTGTTTGTGGTGTTTCTGTGACCCATATCACTGAACTGAACTGACCCAGGGGTCAGGGCAGGGCTAGCAGTGCGGACCATGCCATGTAACCCCAGCCTGATGCTCCAGAGCCAGCTGAGATAAAATTGTTGGTGTTATCCCAGATGATATATACATCCTATAGAAACTGTGCATTTAACATCAGAATACTGTTTTGGACGTGTTGAGATATGGTAACATTGATTTAATTTCTTAGATTATGGAGCACATTAGACTGTAAAAGACTGGGATGCTGACTTAGCTGTCAGCTGGTTTTCTGCTGCTGACACGAGGCACAGTGCTCCTTTCAGCACAGACAATAAATGATCATCTATGTAAATAATAGTGAGTTCTCTTTTTAACCTCTAGTGTGTTGGCAGGCTTTTGCTCTAGAAAGAAATGCTCGTGAAGTGTGTCTCATTCTTTTCCACATTCAAATGCACGCTTTTAGGTTTTTGTGGATAATACCTATAGAAATCTTACCAGTCAGAATTTTCAGTGTTTTAACTGGGGCAACCTGATATGTGTAGAGCTTGATATTTAAAAATATCAGAATAAGAAATGAGAATTTGATGATTCTTGAAGAATTAACAAGGAAAGCATGGAGTTCATTTAAAACTACACTGAATAGTCATAAAAATAGCAGGACTGATGGGAAAATGCCATGGCCAAACCTTGAGCAAGGCTGTGATGTTTCAGCTCATTTGCAAGCTCACCAACAGCAGAGCATTTCAGAAGGCCTTTGGCCCTTTTTGTTAAAGAAAATTTGGTTCTTTCCTCCGTTGAATTAATCTAAACTCCATATGCATGACAGCCTTAGCAGTCCTGATTTTGTTGCACCTCTTTGCTGCCCAAGTGAGGTGCCATACACCTGCTCTGCACCCAGCCATGGACTTCACTTCTTGCCTGTGCTGGACATCACCAGTTGCTGTGCTCCAGCGGCTCAAAATGAACTGCAGCCTCGTGCTCCTGCCTGCAGTGCACCTCCAGCCCCAGTGCTGACACAGTGACCAGACAGCATTTCATTCTCTGCTGTGAAAGTCATTCATTACTTTACAGGACCATCCGTGGAATTACACAGCTGTCAATTCAGTATGACAGCAGACCCTGGCACAGTGTTAATTTCTTAAGGTAGTGTATTTCAGCATTAATACTTTGTATCCATCAGTGCTTTTGCATTAGTTAGCTCTAGCATTTATTTAATGTGGAGTTCACATCTGTCATTTGTGAAGGGGAAAAAAGCATATTTGATTTCCTGACATGCAAACTGCAGGAGCAGTTTAGGGAAAGTAACTTCATGCTATTGACTGCTGTGGGCTTTGCCTGTCCTTGAGCACTGCACTCAGCAGCACCTGCCCAGTGGTTTTGCATAGACCCGACTGGAAAGCCAAGACTTCTTGGGTAGGCAGACAGGTGATGTCTACAGTATGTTACAGGCTGAGACAGAGTGCCTCCTTTGGCATGGTCTGCTTCAGTGGTAGGAAAAGGTGGTGTTCCTCAGCCTCCAGCGCGTGCCCCGTGCTTCAGCCAGCACTACAACTCTGCTCTGAGAACACAGCCAGTCCACGGGCATTTCTATTCTCACAGCAGCTCTTAGTTTTTCATTTCACAAAGAGGACTCTTCAAAAAGTAAACCTCTGGCATTTTTCACAGGTTTGCTACTTTTCACAAACTGCTGCTCATTGCACAAGGGGCTCGGAGATAAGGCCTTTCTCCCACTCAAATCCTCTTGCTCAGATGGGCAAACGCACCCAGTGACTAAAAGAGAAAGGATGGGTTGTAGCAAAGCTTCAGCTCTCTCATATGACATTTGTTCAGCCATCCCGGCTTTCACAAACCATGTTGTTGTTTTGTAAACCATGTCCCTACATCTCTTTGTTGTCTTTTGTCATGCTTTGAAAAAAATAAACTCCCCTTTCAGCCAGAAAAAAAATCTTTTATTAATAACATTTATCAACAAAAAAACATTTTTATTTTGCCTTTTAGATCTAGGTGACTGCTCTGCAGCCTCGATTAGGAGCTACCCAAGCAGGCACTGACATCCTGAATGTGTTGGCCCTCTCACAACTGCCCCACTCCTCAGCGAGATGCTGATGTGCATGCCCCTCCTGCTCCAATCCACAGAACCAG